TCTGACAATTTCTATTTATAGAGATATATGAGATTATAAATTAAATTAGAAATAAGTGCTTAGTATGTTTATTGAATTAATTTATTTTAAATAAATTAAGAAAAATATACTGGATTCTTCTGCAACCTCAAGGCCCTGTTTTAATAATAAAAAAAGCCCAATTTAAGTAAATCAAAGCTATTTGGGCTTCAATGCTTCCATCCATTTGTGATTTTATAACTTAATGGGCTTCAAAATTTTAATAAATTTTTGGAATAAACTAACAATTCTTTCATGTCTTATCTAAACTGTCTTTAGCTAGGATTTTATGTGAAATTTTATTCAAATTGATACAAAATTTAGAATGTAATTTTAATTTCACTTGAAATTAATTTTGTTTTGTTATAAAAAATTCTTTATTATTTTTTAATTTAATTTAAATTAATTATTGCTAGAAGAGATCAAACAAATTAGAGGCAGACGGTATATTATATGCTTTCTTGTGTGGATAAAATTATAGTAATTAATCATCGTTAGGAATAATCTATAGTTTGAATGATGCAGCCCACGTGCTTAAAATTTGTGACCATTTATTATCTCAAATATGTAATTATAACATGAAAGAAAATCAAAGGAGAAAAAAGGAAACAAAAGAAGAAATAGGAAAGCTGGTTAAGGGGTGGGTGGGGGGCCCGGTGGGTGAGCTTTTAGGATCCTCTCGGCTGGTTGATGACTTCAATTGGAATTTTCAATAACATCCAAAACGGCAACCCTTTGCCAATCACCTCATAAGCCAGCCTGGTTCTCATCACAAGATTCTTTCTCTTTTAATATTTTTAATTAGTCTCTTCCTAATTACTATACAATATATATATATATATATATTATATATCAAAATTCGTTGTCTCACTCCCAATTTCTTTTAATAGGACATGCGACTGCGCCTTCTTCTTTTGAAATATAACGATATATGAGTATATTCTTGAAGTAAAAAAAATACAAACTAAAAATATTGATACAATTATGAATTTTATTAAATTTTCTTTATTTGATCGAACAATCCAAAATTAAGTTATTTTAATTACATTAAATGATCTTTCGGGTTGATAAAAAAAAATTTCAATTTATTATTATTTTTTTTTATAATAAGTTGACGATATCATTTTAATCGTTATAAATTGATAATAATATCGAATCTTAAATAAATAAAATTGACTTCTTTCTTTTTAGTAAGGTTGTATTAAAGGTGGGTAATTAATCAAAATATTTAAATAGGAGGATCGTAATCAAATTCCAATTCTTTCTCCTTTTTTTGTGGGTGTTGTTAACTTGTTCTTTTAATCCCACATCGAAGTGAAAAGTCATGTTCTTAATAAATCCACACTAAATAATGGTGTAGATGGGATTAAGATTAGTTTTAATTGACTTGGTTGTAGATCTTTACATGATTTGGGACGTAACAGAATATTTAGGTGGATGTGATGAAGGGGATACATAATCATATTTTTATTTATATATGATAAATCTTTTACAACTAAGTAATTATATAATTAGTTGAATTTGAGACTCACATGATTAACAAATCTAATTTATCATGAAAGAAAAAATCTAATAATTAATTTTGCTAATAATGATTAATTGATTGTCAATGGTTTGGTGCAATCAAATTCATACATTTAGCTACCAACAATATGCAATGATTGAACTTTTTATAATCTTAATTACAATGAAATTTCTCCTTTTGAATTCTGATGAAAAATTTACATCTTTTTTGGGTAATTTAAAAAATTAGGAATAATTATAAATTTATTTAATATATAAAATCCATTAATTAATATTTTTTTTTTTCAATTTATTTTCCAATATGTATTAATTACTCTCTTCCCTCCTCAGATTAAATGATTTTCATTCACGATTGAAATATGGTCTCTCTGTTATTTATATATTTATAAATTTATCTAATTATTTAACTTACAGAATTGATTCTCTCATAATCCTTTGGATATAAAGCATATAACCCATATTTTATCAAATTAAAAAGCAAATTAACTGATTATATATATATATATATATATATATAATACACGAAAAAATCTCGATTACATATAAATATATATGTGTGTGCGTGTATAAAAAGACTTTGACCCATTGAGTCATTGACAAAGATGGACACTCTTTCGTTAAATACCTTTTTATTTCTTAGCCAAGTTAATTTTGACATTCCATATAGAACAATTAAAATATCACACGTGTAAAAACTTTTTCCTAGAATTTCATACGGCATGTAACCCATGAATGTATAATAAAATTGATAGTAAATAAATTAATATCAAACTATATAGTAAAATTAAGCAATAATTAATTTTAAAATAATATATAGTTACGTACTGATTAAGGGTGAGTAAATTGACAGTCATTGAATCATTTTCAATGAAAATCCACGTGGCGTTACTGACAAATTTTCTTTTCTTCTCAATAAGAAAAAACTGTTAAAAAACAAGGTCTGTGTAAATGGTTACTGTTTTTCCCTCCCGGGGTGGTAGAGGATTAGAACTGGAATCTTCAATGACCAATCAGTTAATTTTTTTTTTTTTTTTTTAAAAAAGGTCAAACACAATAATACGAGTCAACGGATGTTGTTGTGTGCCAGGATCCAGTGCTTCTCAGGAGCATGGACTCTGCACCAAATATTCGTACTTGTCAACTGCGCTGGCGGGGACCGCCACCATCACCTTCACGGCGTCCTTCTGATCATTCACCGGCAGAAGCAAGCAGTACCGATCGCAGCAAACAGGTCCCACATGAACGGGTCTTCCTAATCCGAAGTCAACCTTTTCTAAACCCAGTCTTGACCACTGCGACAGTATCAATACCCCCACCGAGTCAGGGCTCGCTCTTGTCAACCCACTTACTAACTCAGTCACTGATTTCACATGCTCGTTGTCGACTCTCTCTTTGGCTTTCTTCACTAGCGTTGAAGCGTAGCCTAAACCCTTCTCTGTTAAGTCCTTCACACTCGTCTGCGCGCAACCTAGCACGAAAGCATTCCCGTAGAAACCGTTGGGTAGACTTGGCTTGACTCGCTTCCGGACATCAATGCTAAAAAGAAGCTTCAGGATTTGATTCGAGGGTAAGTTCAGAGCTCTAGCCCAGCTCCTCCACACATGAGCTGAGAGCACCTCGAAGGACGTGGAGATTAACTCACTGTGTGAACTCGTGAAAACTGCTAGCTTCTTCAGCTCGTCGAGACATTCTCTGTCAAAAACCACCGAGGTAGGAGTGAGTCGCTCGCTGGCAAAGCGGGTGAGGAACCCACAAAGGTCCGGCACTCGGGAAAACTCCGGGTGACTCAATGGGTTATCACGAGAAGCAATCGCCACCTGTGACGATGACGGATTGAGCAAGTGGCGATCCCAGACGGGTCTATGCGCCTTTAACTCGCCTTTGCCTGTGGCTAAGTCAGCAAACGAGTTGAGAAACTCGGCGCTGCCGATACCGTCACAGACACAATGATTAATCCCAATACCCAGCGTGGCATTTCCGTCTCGCAGCCACGTCAGCTGGACGACGAGCGGTGGGGCCCCCTTGAGGACATCGGCCACGTGGATGGACAGCAACTTCCTCCACTGAGTCACGTACCTCGGCGCTCGTTCAAAATCGCCGGCGACGTGATCCGAGATGGCCTCGAGGAAAACAGCTCCCTGTCCGCGACACAGGACATCTAGACCCGACCCGTCTGGCCTGGGCCTGACCCGTCCCGCCAGAGGATAATAAGCGACGAGAGACTTAGCGAGGGCGTGCTTGACTCGAGCGGTGGTGGCGCGTGGGTCGGAGCCGGGACGAGGCTTGTAGACCAAGAGATATTCAATGGTGAAGCGCAAGAAAAGCTGGGAATCAAGAGCAGAAAGGAAGAGGATTTTGGTGGGGGTGGGTTCGGCGGGGACGATGACTGTAGCTTCCTTGACATGAACAGAAGAAGATCCCATAATGTTTTTATGGGGTTTTGCTATTTTGACAGCGCAATTTTTTCAGTTCTTTTCTGTGGCTGTGAATTATTTTTCAGTTCTGGCTTCGTTTGGTTTTTCAAGGACGAGGTGTTTCGGGCATATATATATATGTGTGTGTAAATGTACTGGGTAAGAAAGTATTTTACAATATTATAATATTTTATTAGTAATATTCTCTAAATAAAAATTTAATTTACGATTAAAAATAAAAAAGTTTGTGTTGGTATTTTACAAGGGAAGAAGTAGAAATGTGTGTGGAACTGTGGAAAGATTTGTGAGAAGATTCTCCCGGCATTGCTTTATGGAAAAATTAATATCAAAACAAAATGTTAACAGCTTGGCGTTGCTTTCTGTCTGTTCCTCCAACTCATCCATTTCTCACACCACAAACAGATTGCTGTGCGAATTAAATGCTCTCTCAATATTCCATTTATGACGTCATAAAATTAAATTCACTTTATTTATCTTTATCCCGACCGCTTAAATATAAAATAATTACCAGACTAGTAGGTAATTAGAGGTTCTGATTAATGCGTGAATATGTTTTCAAGGTGATTTGTATATAAATAATTAACATTAGTTGATTAATCACTTAATTAATCAACTATTATTGGGATTAGAAAGACAACAAACATGATGAAAAGTAATTGTTATGATATAATACAATTAGATGATGTATCTAACTTTGTAAGTACATGAAAGACCTTGTGGTGTTATATGGATCAAGATGATGAGAACCTTTATTGGGTGGGGTATATAATATATATATATATATACTTTTTTATGTTTATATATATATATATATATATATATATTTTTTTTAACGTTGGGACATCTCGTGGACCCTAAAATATTGTGATGGTAGATTTGGAACGATATTTTAAGAAGATTTGGTAACCGGGTATGTTTTTATTTCGATTATTGGACAAAATATGTCCATGAAATTTGCTGTATTGCATACAAAATTATCAAAATTTTTGAATTTCTACACAAATATTACCCTTTAAATTATTATATCAAAAATTGATAAAAATAAATCAATATATAAAAATTAACAAGATAGTAATATATATATATATATATATATATATTGCTTAGCTGACTTCGTAGACACACACACACACACATATATATACATATATATGACATAAATATGCAACAAAAAAATTCTAAAATACTAAAAAAAAAAAAAGAAAAGGGAAAGGAATCGTAAATTTGATTCATGCATCGTATGGGTATAATGCTTATTCTTTCCTCTATTTTATTTATTTATTTATTTATTCATTCATTGTGTTTGGTTTTGCGTTTTGTTTTGGAATCCAACTATATATACGCACACACCCATATAAATATTTACTTAATTAATTACATTCATGGAGAACACTGATCTCTTTACATAATCTCTGACTCTGTTTTGTCGGTTTTTTAAGGGAAAACATGTTGTCTCCAAAAGATTTGTGGCATATTTTATTTATAATTTCAAGAAAGCTATAAGCATATATCCTTTCATGTATCAACAACTATATGCTATACCCAAGATTATAAATCGTCAACCAATGTTTAAGTGCATATAAATTAACCTTTCAACTCTACCTCACTTTCCCTTTTCTCATTTTAATATACATGTGTTTTGTATATATGCACATATAGGTTCATAGATGGTGTTCCCCAAGTGTTAGGGCAGCCTTGGTTTACCTTTATTCCTCTTGTTGATATGGACTATATATAAATATATCTCATCTATGAATCATAGGTACCATGGAATCAACTCATGACTTGAGCTTCAATTATTATTTTAATCAATGAGTTAACATACTTGGGTTAATTAATTATGTTAATAATCTAGCTAGATTTTCTTCCTCCATACACCGAGGATGTTTGGTTCGAATGAAAAATAGTTCCAATGTTTTCTAATTTAGTGTCTATTTGTGTTTATAATAATAATAATGTGAAAATGTAGCATGAATAAAATAAATATGATTGTATGTATTGTTCTTTAAAACATTAAATATACATATGTAAACACAACTATGCACCATTAACTATAGTTAACTTAGCTTCAAAGACTATGATTAATGCTTATGTTACAAAGTTATAACTCTTACATTATGATATGGTCATAATTATGTCATGCTCATTAATATTTTCTTAACACCATGTATTAAGTAAGCTATATATAAATAACCAAAGGCTGAAGAACTTTAGATACTCTACAGCCTGGATATTTCACGTTTATTTATATGTAAAAATTTTCGTTTACTCTTTAGATTTACTAACATATTCTTTTATTAATTGAACACCAAAACCTTCTCCTAGGATAGGATATGAGACTCATAAGTTATTTGTTTTGCATGCTAGAATATGTAGATTAACTTACCATTTTAGCTATCAACCTTTGCCTAATCACATTATTTGTTATTCTTTCTTTGATCAATTAACATATTCTTTTATAACAAAAAAAAAATTACAGTGAGTGAGAGAAATTCATAAACAATTTACGATGAGGCCTCTCGTGGTGTTAAAGTAAGAAATTTATCTCCTTATAGTAAAATATCTCTATAAGAGTACGATAATAGTACTTAAGTGGTGGAAAAGTAAAATTAGAATATCAAATTTTTAGGATAGTTATTAAAGGAGAGGATGAGCAACCTCTATGCTTGATAAAATATTAATAAGAGCAAATAGCTTGATTATAAAATACGAGAGATAAACAAATGAGGCAATATCTAATGATGCTATAAGAGTTAAAGAAGGAGGTCAACAAGGGGCAAAGCAAGTAAACTAAACCCACCAAGATAATTAAAGATATAGAAGGAAATAATATAGACCCATATAAAAAACTTGAGGTCAAGTTCTTTAAAGATGATTCGTATTACTTCAAATACTATATTGAATTTTTATTTCTTCTAATCTCATTAATGAGTCTGTTTTTTCAAAGTTCAAATTAATTTAAGCAGACTAATAAAATGAAAAAAAAAATCCTATAAATCATGTGAACCATTATAAGAATACTATAAAATTTCAATAAGCAATCGGAACATATATGTATATAAGTTTCTATTTGACATTAAAGAAGAGGATGAGAGAGTGTTTCAAATGCTCCAACTAATTTATATATGGTTTTCAAGATTTAACAAGTTAATTCTTAGCAAACTCCATTAATAACGAAAGACTTAAGAAGGCGAGTGCAAATTTTTTGTGAATTCCATAGAAAAATGTTGAGATTTTGTATAATTACTTTCTATGATATATCTATATGTGTAGATTTTAGAACCCGTTATCTTACTTATTTATACATGTAAATAAATATGTTGAAAATATATTTTTCGTCATTAAAAGACATGTTGAAAAAATATATAACTCGTTGAAGAAATATTTTAAATAATTATGTCACTTAATTAAAATATATTTTCGAAAAACATATCTAAAAAACGATTAAATTAATCATTTAATGATTAACTTTGGTTTTCTTAAAATCTTCCTTCTAATTCCCAAATCAATTCATATGATTCATATAACTTTTTAAACTATGAAAGTTACGCACAATCTATATATAACACACAACTTTTGGGTTACAAAATTGTGTTTATTCATGAGTCACGTATATGTGTAAATATACTTATGCATATATTTATATTTGATGCAAAAATTAGTGGACCGGTCGGAAAGGGAATACGAACGGAGGTATAAAGTAAAATTGAGTCATAACATTTCATGTGACCTTTTACATGTTACTTTCAAAGGAAAAATTGAAAAGAAAAGAAAAACGTAATATGGGCATTCAAAGTCGAAAATCAGCTTTTTAAATTCAACAAGTTTGGATATTCTATATAATTACGCATGCAAAATATTATCTTCCCAGACGCTTTTCTTCAAGTTGTAGGTCCTCTCTCTCTCTCTCTATATATATATATATATATATATATATACACATTCAACATATATATATATATATACATATACAAGTTGCTTCCACCTAAAACATATATCAGCTTTTGAAAGACTGATCCAAGGACAAGTTGTTTGGTGATCTTATTACGAAAGATCATCAGAGATCCATGTGTTGGGCGGTTTGGGTTTTGGATCTTCTTCGTTTGAGTTGTCATTATCTTTTCTTTTGGTTGATATATAAATTCTATCGGGTCCGTGAATTATATATATATAAAATTGGGTACGTAAATCATTCAAATAGAAATAATTTCTTCTCTTTGAATGATACATTTTTTTACTTCTTATTTTGTAGAAGAAAATAAATTAATTAAAAGAGATTAAGCTATTGATTCCTAATTAGATACTTTGATTACTATTTAAACCTTAATTTCTTACTTTATAA